TTTTTTTTTTTTTAATATCAGCACAATTTCATAACAGATGTTTTTTTCATTCCCAGAGGTTCAGCATCACCTCCCTCATTGGATTCAGCATGGGGGAGAAATCAGGAAACTGTAGGGTTCCAGAGGATCTGTTCAATGGCTTGAAGGTTACAGAGCCCCAGGAAACAGAGTGTACTGGCCATCTAGTTTCTGATCCCAAAGATCAGCATTCCCAGAACAAGCTGCTCAGGGATGATGAGGCCTGTTCCCAGGAGGACCAGGGAGAAGAGGAGTGTTTTCATGACTGCAGCGCCTCTTTTGATGAGGAGGAGCCAGGAGTGGACAAGATTGAGAAGAAACCTGATGATGATGTGAATTCCTCTGAACTAGATGAAGAATACCTAATAGAACTAGAAAAAAACATGCCAGAAGAAGAGAAACAGGTAAATATTCATTTGTTAATTTTTGTACATGATGTGCCATTTGAACTGTGTTTAAAAATAAATGTAGCTAGGCTCAGCGCCTGTGGCTCAAGTGGCTAAGGCGCCAGCCACATACACCTGAGCTAGTGGGTTTGAATCCAGCCTGGGCCTGCCAAACAACAATGACGGCTACAACCAAAAAATAGCCAGACATTGTGGCAGGCGCCTGTAGTCCCAGCTACTTGGGAGGCGGAAGCAGGAGAATTTCTTAAGCCTAGGAGTTGGAGGTTGCTGTGAGCTGTGATGCTACGGCACTCTACCCAGAGCAACAGCTTGAGGCTGTGTCTCAAAAACAAAACGAAATAAGATAAAATAAATGTAGTTAATACTATATCATAGACCACTTCACATGTGATAAAGAGTAACTTTGTAGCTCATGGCCTGTAGGTCAAGTGGCTAGGGCGCCAGCCACATACACCAAAGCTGGTGGGTTTGAATTGAGCCCAGGCCTGCCAAACAACAATGTCAACTACAACCAAAAAAAAAAAAAAAAAAAATAGCACCTATAGTCCCAGCTACTTGGAGGCTGAGGCAAGACAATTGCTTAAGCCCAAGAGTTTGAGGTTGCTGTGAGGTGTGGTGCCATGACACTCTACCCAGGGTGTCAACTTGAGACTCAGACTCAAAAAAAAAAGAGTAACTTCATCTTATTGTTTTAGTAGTGATGGCTCTGAATAAATCAGCATGAGAGGGAAACATTGAGTGTGTCTAATTGGCAAAGAAATTTCAATTTTTTTCCCGCAAACTTTGAGCTGTCTCATAATTCAGTAGTCTGTAACATAACAGTCCTTGTGAATGTGTGTGCATGTGTGTGTGTATGTGTGTGTATATATATATATATATATATGTATAGGATGTCCATAAACTTTGTGCACAATTTTAAATTAGACACTATTTTAAATTGCATAGGAACTTTATGGCCACCCTGTATATATACACAAACATACATAGATGTTTTAGCTTGCTTTCTTTACTTTTTTTTCTTAAGAGATGGAGTATTGCTCTGTCACCCAGCCTAGAGTGCAGTGGTGGGATCATAGCTCACTGCAGCCTCAAACACCTGGGTTCAAGTGATCTTCCCACCTCAGCCTCCCAAGTCACTAGAACTACAGGCACACATCTCCATACTTGGCTAATTTTTCTGATTTTTGTAGAGAAAGGGTCTCACTATTACCTAGGCTGGTCTCTAATTCCTGACCTGGAGCAGTCCTCTCAGCTGGGCCTTCCAAAATGGTAGAATTACAGGCCTGAGCCACTGCACATGGCTATTTTAGCTTTCTTTTTTTGAGACAGTCTCATTTTGTTACCCCTTGGTAGAGTGCTGTGGTGTCATAGCTCATAGTAACCTCAAATTCTCAAATTCTTGGACTCAAGTGATCCTCTTGCCTCAGCCTGCAAAGTAGCTGGGATTACCAGCACCTGCCAAAGCCTGGCTACCTTTTTTTTTTTTTTTTTTTTTTTTAAGAAACGAGGTCTCACTCTGGCTCAGGCTGTCTCAAACCTGTGAGCGCAAGCAATCCACCCATTTTGGCCTCCCAGAGTGCGAGGATTATAGGCGTGAGCCTCTATACTCGGCCTCTTTTAGCTTTCTTTTCTGGCCTTTTATATGATTGCTAAAATTTTTGCAAGGAAAAAAATTATTGTGGGACTATTTAGTATTAGGTATGCTTTCTGTTTATGTTGATCCTTTGTTAGAAAAATACAACTACCTGAATAACTTGATGCTGTTCTGATTACAGAGGACACTGAATGGGTCTCAAAGAATAGAATTGTGGATGATAGGAGCAATCATTTGTTAAACATCTATAATATTCCAGCCACTGAGCTTAAAATGTTAACTGAGTTTTCATTTAATCCTCACAACACACTTTTGAGACATACATTGTTGTTATTCCTCATAAGGGAACAGACCTAGAGTAGTAAAGCATAATAACTCATCTGAAATGAAACACCTAAAAGTGTCAGAACTGATTCTCAAATCAAGATCTATTTTATTTCAAGGCCAGAGTATAATGTATAATTTAATAACAAAAATGTGTTTTCCTACAAAGATACACTAATAAAATGGTTTAGTCTCCTGCTTCTTTGCCCCAGGCCACATCCTTAACTAGGCAAGCCTTCCCTTTTTGAAACCAGAAGTCCTGCTGCCCTCCACACGTCCTTCTTTCTGATCTCACAAGCAAAGTAGTCTTTGAAGAGGTACCATAATATCTGAGTTTGTCTGCCAAGAACTTGAATGAGATTGCAGTTTATGCCACTAAAGTGCTCCCTCACTGAACAGGTCGTGATAGATTGATAATGGGTTGAGATAAATGTGCAGTATAACAGTGGGGCGGGGTGGTAGCCTGAGATGGGGAAGAGCATTTTCTTTTTATTTCTTCTTAGGCACTTTTTATTGTCAAATGAACTGGTCTTAATGTGAATGTATTAGCTTTTATGCTGGTGCGTGCCACCAGAAGAGGAGGATAAAGGGCAAAAGTGAGCCAAGTACATGAACTACATCAGCAAGTTTGACTTGAATAATTAAGTCAAGTACGATTCCGTAACTTTAAAGAAATGATTTTTTGGAAAGCAATTTTTTCTTTTTATTTTTTGAGACAGAGTCTCGCTTTGTTGCCCTCAGTAGAGTGCAGTGGCGTCATATCTCACAGCAACCTCAAACTGTTGGGCTTAAACGATTCTCTTGCCTCAGCCGCCCGAGTAGCTGGGACTACAGGTGCCCTCCACAATGCTCAGCTATTTTTAGAGGTGAGGTGTTTCTGTGGCTCAGGCTGGTCTCGAACTTGTGAGCTCAGGCAATCCACCACCTTGGCCTCCCAGAATGCTAAGATTAGAGTCATGAGCCACTGAGCCCAGCCCAGAAAACAATTTTTTTAAACATTGATTAAATGTCTTTTAAAAAGTTAGCAGTGCTTTTCAGATACCTTTGTATATTTTTGCCTTAATGTCATAGTGAATTTTCTAGTGTCATCTGGTTTTGCAAGTCCAGTCAGTGATTTAGCTTAAAGTGTCACAGGCTGTGTTCTCCACTTCTAATTTAGGAAACCTGTTTTTTGGTCTCCTGGCTAGGAAATCTGTTTTAAGTTCTATAAATACTTTTATTCATTTATTATTATTATTTTTTTTCTCGAGACAGAGTCTCAATGTCACTCTCAGTAGAGTGCTATGGCGTCACAGCTCACAGCAACTTCAAACTTCTGGGCTTAAGTGATTCTCTTGCTTCAGCCTCCCAAGTGTGGAGGAATTACAGGCGCCCACCACAACGCCCAGCTATTTTTTGTTGCAGTTGTTTAACTGGCCCGGGCCTAGTGGTGATGGCCACCCTGGTGCTGCCACCCTCAGTATATGTGGCTGGCACCGTAACCACTGTGCTAACCAGCACTGAGCCTCTATAAGCATGTTTAATTTAATTTTTTATTGCCTATAAACTTAATATTCTAAATAGCACAGTATTTTTTTCACTTTTAAAAATAGAAATAGAAATAATTGGCTCGGCGCCTATAGCTCAACGGGCTAAGGCGCCAGCCACATACACC